AAGCGACCCTCCACTGGGGAAGCACAGAATGCAAAAGCACTTGGCACATTGTCCCAGGCGACCCTGACGTATGGGATTGTCATTGTCGCCCCCAGAAACCCCGCCATCCCGAAGGTGACGGCTGTCTCACCCCCGGCCACACCACCGCGCCGTAGCTCTCTATCGACTCCTGGATGACAATCTTCGTGCCTGCAAACAGATAGTGCTCCTGAGTGTAGCTCTCATAGTCTGTAGGAACGAACTGCTGGAGGCTGTGAAGGGATGGTTCTATCTTGTTAGAGCCTGTGGGGCAGAAAATAAAATAGGTTCCGTGATTTGTGGATCCAGCACAAGTACACACTAAGCAGAGCTGGTAAGTCGGGAACAGATTGGGCAGTTTTCCCACAGACAGGGGGGTTGATGCTGGCAATGACCATGGCTTTAAACTGGCACAAACCCGAACGATCTGGGGTGATAGGGACACCGAGTTCAGACGTGACATGTTTGTGACACGACGAGATGCCAGAGGATGCCCTGGTTCCTCTCCTCCATGGAGCGGAAGACAGAGAGGCGTGGCTCCCCTCCACCCCTCTGTTCTGAGGCCCTCTGTAGCCAACCAGCAGGATGGCACGGACGAGCTGTCTGCATGAGGACCTAGGCAAACACGGACCCGACTATTTTTAGGTCTCGAAGTGAAGTAACATTCCCGCGTGTTGGCTGGAGCGTGTTCCTTAAATCCTTCCTACGACTCCTCTGCAAAAGGTACGGGTCACCCGAAGACGAGCCAGCTCCACGGTCCTGGGGTGGTTGTCAGATGAACCCTGGCTATTAAGTTACTATTGCTTTAAATACCCATTAAACTCATGAGCAGCTCTCGAATATCACATAAAATGAGCGGAAAAGAGCACCTGATCGCGGCTGATGTCATGGAAGCACAGGTCGTGCAGATTTTGCAGAGTTCCAGAATAAAAAGAGCAGCGCGCGAAAATGTCAGGAGTGGGGATGCCAAGCACACGCACAGCAGAACGGAAGCTGCTGGTGCCAGCGGTGGGCAGGAGTTAGCAGCAAGGAGCCGGGGGGGGGGAGACCCCCACGAAACCTGCCTTTGCTCCCTGAGGCTCGCCCGGGACATTTGTCACCACAGGTGGAAGATGGGCTTTGGAAAGGAGCTGACAGGGGCAGTCGGTTCACATTTGAGCTGCTCTCATCAGAAATCTGCACTCTCGAAAGAGGAGGAGGTGGGGGGGGCAGGGCGCGAATACAAGGTGAAGGGTCAAGGGTCTTTGGAGAAACCCAGTGAGGAGCGCACCCTCCGAGGCAGGTGGGGACGGAAGCGATTTGGGGTGTCCCTGTTTAGCGCGTGCACCGGGGCAGATCTGTGCTGCTGGTCTGCTCACTGGAACAGGCTCACAGAAGACCACAGACATTTGGAGTCAGCTCTTCCAAATGTTTACAACCGTGTGACCACGCCTGTTGAATCCAATTGTAAGCAAACTGACAAAACCCCCCAAAACAGGGCTGGAGTTTTGTCTTCGCATGTGTTTTCATTTTGGTTTTCTAGCAATTAATTTTTGTGGTATTTTACCAAAAAGGGTCAGCGTGCAGCAGACTGAGAAATGGTCTCAGAGCCCAGCGGAGCACAGGGACTGGTTTGTAGACTAGCATGACGGGCGACCATAGCCCTTCCGGGAGCACTGCTCTTGGCCCCCGGTTCTGATGGAGCATGGGCTCCAGCCCCCGGGGGAGAATTCTGCACCCTGACCTAAAGGTGAGCTTTCCAGAGACCTGGGGCTTCACCGAGCAAGAACCTGCTAATACATACTGGCCAAGTCAGTCGTGAGACGTCATCCTTTCCTGTCCCGCACCCTGGTAGTGGGGGAAGGAGACTTATGGCCTTCACCCGCCTCTTGTTATGGGAAGCTCCTGATATCTAACACCACCAACCCGTTATCTGTGAATGACCAAAGAGGCCCTAGCTTCTCCCAGGGAACCGGAGGCTGACTGGGCTTTGCAGAGACGATGAAGAGGCAGAGGACTAGACCGTGGTTTGCCGGTAAATGCTTAACAGTAGGTGTGGGGTGAGGGGAGGAAGCACCGACTTTAGGGTCTGATGATTACCATGGTGTCGATGCTCCCACCATGGCCATTTCCAGCCTTCAGCAGACGCCCTGGGGAAAACTGTGCACCTGCTGACCATGGCGGGGTATTTCCACCACGCAGAGCGATGGACACCAATAACCTCAAGCGCATAGATAATCTTAACGATCATCTTATAATGTAACAAAATAGGTCATGATGAGTTGTATTTATTACCTTAGCCTTTAAATATACCCTTGGCTTTTATCTGATCTATTGAGTGGTAAGTTTTCATAACTTACATTTCAGTAATGGCCATGTTTAACAACCACCCTCAAAAAAATCCCTGAAATTCAGGAGCTGGTACAGGCCAGTCGGTACAAGGAGCCAGTCCAGGGCAACTCCTTTTTCCTCTGAGGTTTCGTCACTGGAGTAGGTGACTCGGAGCAGCCAGACCAGCAGGGACTCATGCCAGCTCCTGCAGGCTTCCCTCCGCCACTGTGGCTCAGATGGCTCCTTCCCTTCCTCCTGCGTCTCACCAGCTGGGGACTTACTTTTCACTGACCACAGGAAAAGTCAATGGGCTGATTGGGAACGGCTCACCGGTTCATAGGCTAATGAGCTGATAAGTCCTGTTTTCCCAATCAACCTTGGACAGTAACGTGAGCATACAAATATTGTCCCATAAGACCCTTCCACGTCCTACAAAGATACTTTGTGTTTGTTGCACATTAAACATTTTCACTTACTGTATCGATGCTAGTCTGAGAGTGTTAGATCAGGATTTAGAGATACAAATGCCTTTCTCTGTAAACTAGTTTAGCAAAAATAAACAGTCTTGATTTAGTTGAGCTAGAACATAATTTTACCATGTTAAATGGTTATAAAGGTTTGAAATGCTGTATCCTGGCTTTTCTGACATTTATCATTACGTCTACCATTTATTACTACTGAGTCCCTCTGTGCAGAAATGCAACCCACATATGATACAGTTGCCGGGGAGAACATTCTGGCGAAAAGCCGAAGCGAATCAAGATTTTGTTTCTTTTTAAAAGTTCTAGGGGCTCCTGGGTGGCTCAGTCGGTGGAGCATCCGACTTTGGCTCAGGTCATGATCTCACAGTTGATGGGTTCGAGCCCCTGCGTCGGGCTCTGGGCTGACAGCTCAGAGCCTGGAGCCTGCTTCGGGTTCTGTGTCTCCCTCTCTCTCTGCCCCTCCCTCACTCATGCTCTGTCTCTCTCTGTCTCAAAAATAAATAAACATTTAAAAATATTAATAAATAAATAAAAGTTCTTATTAACAAAAAATATAACCATTTGAGATTTACAGAAACGCCAAAACAAATTTGTGGACTTTGATAAGTGCATAATAAACAAAAACAAGGATTGCTTTTAATGCTATGCCTCTGCTCGCGTTAAGGCACTTTTCTACCATGCTTCACTATAGGAACCATCTAGAGTTAATAGGTAACGGGAACTCTTGTCACGGAAGTTAGCTGGAAAATGCCGTGGCCAGGGAGACAGCTGAGAAGGTGCTGCGGTCTGGAAGGAGGTTACCTCCTGGAGGGCCACCGGTGTCTTCCTCCCGGGGAGCCCCCTCCGGCGCGGAGCAGCCATCCGGGGTGCATGGTCCTTCCTGCAGGTGCTGGGACCGCTGCTCGGAGCTCAGACACGCGTCCATGACCGCAGCTGCTGGAGACCAGAGAAGCGGACAGGCCCCCCTCGCGCTCAGCCCAGGCTGGCTGAGCCTCCCAGAGGCTCTAAAAGGTGCAGCTTATCGCCTTAGCATCTGCTGAGCCGCAAAGAACCCCTGCTTTTCAGCTTTAGCTCCCCCCGTCGGCAAAGCAGCTGCCCCAAGGCGCTGCCATCCTGGTTTCGCAGAGCAAGGGAGAGGGGGACCGTTCAAACATCACCCCGCACCTGTTCCGTGCATCAAGAAACGCAAACACAGAGCGAGCGTAGCCGGACAGGCACGACGTGGCTGGGTTCTAAACCACATCTCTAATAGCTTTTGGAACCGAATCTTCATGAAGAAAATCTGATCTAGCAGCGCATCGTACCATCACGGGTACCGTGTGGGTTGAGGGCTCAATGACATCACGGATGAGAAGGCAGGATTTGAACCAAACCCAGGGCTGCTCCCTTAGCGGAGGCTTTATCGCCAGATCTAGAAAGCGCTGGGGGCCCGAGCCAGGCGCCTGACCTGGCTCCCCGCTGGGGCGCTTGGCAGCCCACCTACCCCCCTGCCTGCCGTTTCCTCATCAGCAATGATAGTATCTGCCTGCTTCCTAGGGCCGAGGTGAGAAGCAGGAGGGTGAAAGTGATGAGCCCGGAGAGCAAAACTACCAGGTTTAGAAAAGGAGAGCGGGCTGTTGCCATCACTGATGGGCATCAAAATAGTAACTGCAGGACGTGTACTGGTTCCAAGCCCCGCTCTGGTGCAGTGCATTGATTCTTCCAGTCCTGGCAATAGTCTCTGTGAAGTAGATGCTATTATTATGCCTCTTCTCAGATGCGAGCAGGCCAGGCACAGCCGGATTGAGAGGCAGCCCGAGAGCAGGGGCAGATCCGAGAGTCAAACCCAGGCCGTCGTGCAGCAGAATCTATCTACCGGCTTCCCCACCAGGCGGGCTCGGCTCGGGTTTCCCTGCCCCCTCTGCCCTGAAATCACTCATAACGCTCAGCTGTCACAGTGACACTTTCGAGTCCTTTGCACAAAATGTGAACGGTCTGCCTCATCTGCGTTGACCATCCTGAGTTCCTCTCTGCACACCCGAGCTACCCTGTCCTGTCGTCCCAGCTGGGGGCACCGGCTTACTCCAGTGAGCAGACAAAATGCAAGAAAGCACAGCCCCCGAAGCAAATGGCATTGCATCGCACACCCGGGACGGGCTGTGTGTGCCTCGCATCAGTGTGCCACAGGGCTTCAAATGAGATTCCTGTGAAAGTAATTTAACATGCTCCTTGGCTCTGCAATCGAATAACCAAATATTTGCCCCAATTCTCCCAACTCCCCATGCCAGCCACAGTGCTCTACCGGGCTGTGCGTCAGAGCAGAAGTTCTTTCTTTTGTGGGTGCTTACTTGTTCATTCCTTTCAACCTACCCCTAAAAGATACTGCCCGGTTGTTTATCAGTACACACAGCATCTTCAGGGAGGAAGCCTGGCACCATGGGGAGGCGCCCGCATCTGAATCTTGGCTCTGCCCTGTGCATGATGGGGGTACCTACCTCTTCTGGAGGCTGTGGTAATTAACAGAGGTAAGCCACGCAGAGCGTCTCACGTACAACAGCAGCCGTTTTGTCCGAAGCCAGAGCGTGGTCGTGCGATAAATCCAACACTCCACGCAAACCACCCTCACCCAGCACCATGGGACTCTGTGCATTAATTTAAGACATCTCCCCATTTTGCATGCAAGCGAGGGAGAATTATTTCCAAATGACAGCTGTACTTTTCCTTTTGGAAGGAAATGGCTCCCTCTCCCATCATTGTAGTTCGCATGCGAATTTAATTTTTTCCCAGACATCTCTGCACTGAAAGTAACGCACCGTGCATTGTAGTTATTCTAGAAAATAACTACAGGAACCTACCTAGTGTTATTAGTCAGACGTAGCATGTGGTATATATCGTGTGTTAGTTATCTAATAAAGATTTGGGAAGTTTTTAAAATGACTTCTTGTTAGTACCCTCAGAATCATTTCAAACTGTTAGTTTAAACATTACCTTATGTAGCAGAAGAGATTTGAGATTTCTGTGCACCCTTTAATCCCCAATGTTTTATATAGATGTGCACCTGAAAGGATTAGCATTTTATGAACAAAAGCCAGCCAGTGGAAGCCCAAGTTATTTAGGGTAGCATGACCCACCAGCACGCAGACACATCTCTATCTCTGAATCTCTCTCTCTCTCTCTCTCCCCCTCTGTGCTACACACACACACACACACACACACACACACATGCGCGCGCTCACACTCCTTGCAACATGAAATGGAATCACCCTCAAAAGATCCAGAAAATACTTCCAGCAGAACAAAGGCTGTCCTCTATGGTATCCAGTTGCTGTGATGTAGTTTGAAATGTAGACGTATTTCACTTTAAAAAGAAGTGAGGATTGGGTAGGTGGGGTTTTGTACAGACTTGCAAACTTTCTTTGTGCTCATTAGCCAAAGTCCTGTCTGTGGCTGAGGAGTGAACTGTCCCGGACCCTGCTTCCAGCAGCCAGAAACAACATAGGACTCTACCAAGAGAAGACAGAACATCTAACTAGAAGGGAGGTGAGTTAAATGCCTTAACATTGCATTTGGGGTATTTAGTTGGGGCCCCAGGGGAAACCAGGAAAAACTCTTCCAAGAAGAATGCAAACCATTGCAATTTATTGCGTTGAAAAAGAAGGGGGCAGTTACAAAGGAAAGAGGAAAATCGTGTGCTCATTTGGGAAGCCTCAAACCCTTAAAATAGAATATAGGGCATGTAAATCAAACCCTTGGGCAAATGGGAATCAAACAAGCACTCGCAATTTATGAGGGGTTACGTTTAGCCGGCGAGCTGAACGAACGGTGGTTTGGCTTGAGTGGACACAATAGCCTATGTTTATTTTTTCACCCAGGCTTGGTACTCTCTTCCCTGCTATCACTTTTTCTTTAACTCAGGTCTTCATCTGGATGTGCTGTGGTCCCATGACCACTAGGTGTGCTTCCCCACTCCCTGAAACGAGGGAGGTGACCTGGAGTCTAGCCCAGATCGGTCATTCCAATGCTTTCGTATTCCTGGAGTGGTCCAGGTCTCTGTGCCCGGCCCTTCTGTAACTTGTTTCCACCAAGAGTCAGCACCCCTGTGTATGACAAATAGCAAAACGGTGGTCATCTTTACAATTATGTGAGTAACATTTAAAAACTGATTGGAATACATATGAATACATGTACGTGTATGTATATATATGTATGCACACAGATACTCGTTTGATAAGCTTTAACATGACGAAAAGGGCAAAGAAGAAATATTTTAAAATCTCTTTTAATCCCACTATTTGGAGAAGTAAGCCTGATATAACAATTTTTATATCAACTTCTAGGCTCTTTTTGTATAAACTTTACAAAAGCTGTTTTACTGACAATGAAACTGGACAGAAACAGGTACGTCTTTGACCTTGTATGGAATAACCTATTATTTTAAGAGTTTCTTTTCATACTTTTTTCAAAAACCATCGACTGCATCACTGCTTTAAAAAACAAATTGCAGGGGCACCTGGGTGGCTCAGTCGGTTGAGCATCTGACTTCAGCTCTGGTCATGATCTCATGGTTTGTGAGTTCGAGGCCCACATCAGGCTCTGTGCTGACAGCTCAGAGCCTGGAGCCTGCATTTGATTCTGTGTCTCCCTCTCTCTCTGCCTTTCCCCCACTCATGCTGTCTCTCTCTCTCAAAAATAAATAAAAACATTTAAAAAAATCACAGGAGAGGGGATGCCTGCCTAGCTCAGTCAGTTAAGCATCCAACTTCAGCTCAGGTCATGATCTCACGGTTCATGGATTCAAGCTCCCCATCAGGCTTCGTGCTGACAGCTCAGAGCCTGAAGCCTGCTTCACATTCTGTCTCTCTCTCTCTCTCTCTCTCTCTCTCTCTGCCCCTCCCCCACTCACACTCTGTCTCTCTCTCTCTCAAAAATAAAATAAACATTAACAAAAAATTTAAAAAGAAACAAATCAGGGGGCACCTGAGCGGTTTAGTTGGTTGAGTTTCTGACTCTTGGGTTTCTGACTCTTGATCTAGGCTCAGGTCATGATCTCACAGTTCATGGGATCGAGCCCTGTGTCAGGCTCCATGCTGACAGTGTGGAGCCTGTTTAGGATTCCTTCTCTCTCTCTCTCTGCTCTCTCTCTCTCTCTCTCCCTTCCTGTTCATGCTCTCTTTCTCTGTCTCTCTCTCTCTCTCTCTCAAAAAAATAATAATAGGTAAACATGAAAAAAAAATTTTTTTAAAGAAACAAATCAGAATTCTATTGCCCAGAGCTGGAATGAGTTAGGTCCAAGGTTTGTAAATACTGGACTATCCCTAAATACTGTCTACATCAGAATTACCTGGAAGCTTTGAAACACAGAGACTCTAGGCCCCTGGAAATTCCTGCTCTAAGGTTGAGAAAGAGCCTAGAGGTTTGAAGCCCGAGTCCACAGCTGTCCCCTGGCACACGGTCAGTGCCGATCTATAGGGCAGAGGACACATGAGTGATTTTCACAGAGCTGAGATGTCAGCCCGTGACAGGGGATTAGGCTTTGGGCGTGGCTCTGCAGGACACACAGATGAAGTAAGAGCCGGGCAAATGCATTTGGTCTCAATAGGAAAGAACTTTCTAACAAGCAGAGCAGTGGAACAATTGATCTCAGGGAGCCAGCATGATGGAAAGTGGGCCAGATCTGGAGTCAGAATGCGCGCGATTGGACCAAAGGTTTACGCAGGGTCAATAAACAGGCCATGAGTGTGCTGTCACTCGCTTTTCTCCAACGGTGTAGACCCCAGATCTCTCACAGCGTTTCTCCAGCTGAAGCTGACTCTCTCAGCCAAGTGGTCCTCACCACGGAGGAACCCCCCCTCCCCCAGGGATGTGTGGCAATTTGGAGACTTTTTGCTTGTCACAACTGGGGCAGGTGCTCCTGGTGTGCGTAGAGGCCACGGGTGGTGCCAAACATTGTGTGTCACGCAGGACAGCCCTTCACAGCAAGGAGCAATCCTGCCCAAAATGTCACCAGTGCCAAGGCTGAGAACTCCTTGCCTCAGTGGGGGGGCTGGAGTTGCAGGGTAAATTCTCAAGGCACGTTTTTTTGTTCTAAGGAAACTCTACCCCCAATGTGGGGCTCGAACTCATGACCCCGAGATCAAGAGTCACACTCTTGACTGAGCCAGCCAGGAGCCACAGGGCAGATTCTAATTTCCATCCTCCACACACCCATCTACCAGGCCAGTGATCCCTGCCTCCTCAGCCCCAGTGTCCTCGCCTATAAAATGGGGTCGATTAGCATTTGCAGACTGTCTAATAGATCTAACATCACACCCTCTGGCTTCCTCGGTTTCTCCCAGGAGCAGACCTAAAGACAAGGATTTGAGAGAAAGGATTTGGGATGGGGGGGGGAGGGTTGGCGGGGGAGGAAGAATAACTCAGGGAAAGGGTGGCAGCCAGCAAAAGGTGTTCCATGAAACCGGCTGCTGCGGTGGGCAATCAAAGCTTTGGCCCGAGGGGAAAGGCTGGGAGATGATGTAGAACACACAGCTCAGAATGATTCCATTCCAGGTTCAGAGGGCTTCTGGGCTCTTCCCACACCAGCACCTCAGCCCGGATGCAGGAACCAGCAGCTGCAGGTGTGTCTGAGAGAGGCCTCCCACAACTGCAGAAGGTGATGGATTTTCTATGTGAAGAACCTGGCGCAGGGCCTGGTGCCTAGAAGGTCATCAATAAATAAATGTCTTGTGTTAATTACATGCCATTGCAGCAGAGGGTTGAATGAGCAGGGTTCCTTGGAAGGATTCACTCACTGAATCAAATGCAAATACTGAGTTTGGGGCTTGAGAAATAAGGACCCAGGGCTGCTTTGGCCCCAGAGATTTCAGCAGCAGGGATTCGGGGGCCTTCTCCACAAATAGTGCTGTTGGGGGCTTCCAACGGCGGTCACATCCCAGCCTTTGCTGTGGCTGAGCTTCGGGATCTGGGGGAAAGTTCTGATTGATCTAACCTGCTCATAAGCTCTCCCTATAGTTAAGGATGGATGATGTGAGAAGCGTCTCACAAAATCATGGATGCTGGCCCTGTAACAAACAAGAGTTATGGATGGCCCTCTTCCCCTTCCTGGCCACCCTGCATGTACATACTTTCTTATTTCCAGAAATACAGTTTCAAATTGGACACCTTATTTCTACAACAGAGGACGGCCTAAGTCTCACTGGCTATTGCGTCCAGAGGGAACAGAGTCATTCCCCTCCAACTGGAAACCTCCAGATGACGTGCATTTCTTCACTAGTCCCATGCCTCTCCTTCAGTGGGCATGCGCTCCCAGAAAATACCCTGATCAGCGATTTCATCACTGCCTGCCGTGGGCTGCTGCAATGGCATACAATTTAATACAAGACATTTATTTATTGATGACCTTCTAGGCACCAGGCACAGCTGCTTTGCACATGCCCTTCGCCAACATTCTGCAGAGGAAGGGTTGCTGACCAGACAAATATAAGATATGCCCACCATACTCACTTACAGGGGAGATGGCGGCGAGACTCCCTTCCAGAGAGATGGGGTTTCATTGCAGAACTAGATGTTCCCTGAACACACTGCTAACCAACACCCAAGAATGTGTGGGATTTTCAGTGTGCAACGCAGAAAATGTCTGGTCAAAGGGAAATGTAATTCTATAATTTCTGCCCCCTCGTGTTGTCTGGTAGCACAGTGGCTCTGAGTCCATAACCCTCTCTGTGGAGTGATTCAGAGCTGCCCTGAGAGGCCAGGGGAAAAGGTCCACCGAGGCTGCCGGGGGATGGAAGGATTTAGACCACGCAGCAGTGCGGAAGCATCAGACGCAGAAAGCCTGTGTGGCAGGACATTAACAGGACTCTTCTTGTGGTTTGGCTGGGACACGAAGACAGTGGCTTCCTTGTGCCAAAGCGAGACCACTGTCAGAAATTTTGAAGCAGGTGTTCAAAATCCATTCCAGCAACACTTGTTTCGCCGGGCTTGTGGACGTAGAAGAATTTACTTCTGTTTCATTTTAAATGCCTTTTAAGTAATGACAAACATTACCAGTGAAGGGGAAAGAGGAAGAGTGAAAGAATCCAATACATTTGGAAACGGCAAGTGATGCGATAGTCATTTCATCTTTAAAAAGTGCATACCATGGGGCGCCTGGGTGGCGCAGTCGGTTAAGCGTCCGGCTTCAGCCAGGTCACGATCTCGCGGTCCGTGAGTTCGAGCCCCGCGTCGGGCTCTGGGCTGATGGCTCGGAGCCTGGAGCCTGTTTCCGATTCTGTGTCTCCCTCTCTCTGCCCCTCCCCTGTTCATGCTCTGTCTCTCTCTGTCCCAAAAATAAATAAACGTTGAAAATAAATAAATAAAATAAATAAAAATAAAAAGTGCATACCTGCTCCCCAGCACCTGAGGCTGTTCTCAACCACATTTGAAGGCACAGCTCTGCTAAAGTATCTGCCTTGTGGAGTCGCTCTGACTGCAAACCCATGAGTGGCCTCGATGGCCTTACGTGCATTTCGGAGAAGAGAGGTACATAGTTGTTTGTTTCTATTTTTTATTTCTTTGTATTTTCTTTTAATTTTTTAAATGTTTAATTATTTTTAATATACTTTTTAATGTTTATTTTTGAGCGAGAAAGAGAGAGCTTGAGTGGGGGGAGGGGCAGAGAGAGAGGGAGACACAGAATCTGAAGCAGGTTCCAGGCTCTGAGCTGTCAGCCCAGAGCCGGATGCGGGGCTCGAACCCACAAGCCATGAGATCATGACCTGACTGGAAGTCGAATACTTAACCAACTGAACCTCTCCCAGACACCCCTCTGTTTTCCCCAAGCCAGTTCCTTTTTTTTTTTTTTTTTTTTTTTTTTTT